GCACAAACTATTTCCCGGTTGAAGTATGTAAGAGCAGGTGTGAAATGTCCATTCATCACTTCCCTTGCTTCTGGGATCAAATAGCTCACAGCTGGTGTAAATACAAAATGGTGAAATCTCTGTCAGCCTTAGTCTGTGCTGACTCATGTTGGACATGTACCTTGAATTTTACAAGCTTTTATGCTTTGAGCCACTCAACTTTTGGAGTTATTTATTACTTCAGCACAGCCTGTCTTCTCCTGAGTAAAACATACTACTAGAAATATTCTAAATTACCATGCTTTTCCCCAGCCTTCCTGGAAATTGTTTTATTGCTCTTTATGAAATATAAATATGACTTTTGGCTTGAGATATGGTATATAATTTTTAATCATATTAAAGAACTGCCTTTCTATCCTTAATTTATACACTTCAGAACCATTTAAGTAACTATGAAATGATTCATTCTTTGAAAATTAGATTGAGCTGTGAAATTATCTTGTATTGATGGCTTTTTATTTAGAGAATTATTTTATTTAACTTTATTTATTTATTTATTTATTTTAATTTGACCAGAAAGAGATAGCACATGCAAGGGAGAGAGAGAGAGAGAGAGAGAGAGAGAGAGAGAAAGCCACCAGGCCTGGGATTTGAACCGTGGTCAGTTTTGTGGGACTCCAGCGCCCTTACCCACCACTCTACCTGCCAGCTCCTATTTTAACTTTTTTAAAATATAACTCTTCCTTGGCAATGGTCTACATTTCTACCATGATACTTTATCTCTTTAGTTTTTCTTTTCCTTAATCCAGAATAGTTCTGCTTTTTATTACCTGGCATTTAAAAAAAATAATTTTGAAACAATTGACTCTTGAATTTAGTGGTCAGTTCTATTTTCCATCTGTTAATTTATAAATTTCTATTTTTCTTAAAAATTTACACATAATTTTTAAATTGACATGGAATAATTGTACACTTATATGGGGTTTAGTGAGACTTCTCAATACATAGCCATGATGAGTAATGATCGAATCAGAGAAATTAGCATGTCTTTTATCTCAAACATTTGTCATTACTTTGTGTTGGGAACATTGAAAAATCGCCCCTTCTAGCTATTCCAAAATATACAGTGAATTATTGTTAGTTGTAGGTTCCTTGCTTTGCTATAGAACATTAGAACTTAGTTCTCTTATCTGACGGCAATTGTTTATCCATTAACCAATATCACTCTAGCTCCTCCATACTCCAGTGCCTTTCTCAGAATCTAGTAATCACTTTTCTACTCTTCTTATATAAGCTTTTTTTTTTAAGTTCCCAAATATGACTAAGAACCTGTGATTTTTCTCTTTCTGTGCCTAAAAATATTGTAGGTACATTTTTGCTTTTTATATTTTTAAGTTGAATATTTGTCTACTTTCATTTTTTTCCTACTTAGTAATTTAAATGTTCAAGGCTATACATTTTCTTTTGTGCTTTAGCCATGTTCTATAAATTCTGGTACCAAATCATTTTATTATAAGGCTGTAGATTATATAGGTGGTAGATTGTATTTTAATATGGTATGAGAAATCCAGTCGATTATTATTATTATTATTATTATTATTATTTTTGGCATTGAGAGAAACAGAGAGAGGGCAAGTGAGAAATCACCCCTCACCCCAGGAGGGATGGCCATGCTGCAATCCCTTCCCTTCCTTTCTCCTCTCAGGATTTTGGACATGCATGTATATGTGCCAGCACAATTTTCAAGCAATCAAGTCCAGGAGTCAAATTGCAGTCAGCCATGTGGGAGTCCAATGCTTAGACCACCAGCCACCTGTTGGCCCCTGATTTTCTCTTTAACACAAGAACTTTTAAAAATGTAAATATCTAAATGGTAGATTTTCCTTTTCCCATTTTTGCTACTAATAACATTTTATTAGTCATAGCATTTTAATATAATAATGTGGTATGTAAATTCTCTGGAACTTACCACTTTCTAGAATTTATTGAGATTTTCTTTGTGCCCTAATAGGGTCTTTCCTTTTTGGTTTTTGCTTTTGTTAGTATTTTATGGACCTTTAAAAAGAAAAGAAGAAGGAACCAGTAGATGGAGAAATGGTTACATTGCTGGACTTCATATGGCCAACCACAGTCTAAGGTCTCAGACCCAGAGGCTTGAAAGTCATGTTAGGTGTGTGTGTGTGTGTGTGTGTGTGTGTGTGTGTGCCCAAAATCCTGAGAGGAGAATGGAGGAGAAGGGATTGCAGTGTGGCCATCCCTGTAGGGGATGATTTTTAGCTTTCTTTCTGTCTTATGCTGTCTCTCCAGTGAGAACGCACGCCCTATAGCAAAAATCTTTCCCTTTTTCCTAAGAAAAGAAAGAAAAAGAAAAGAAGAAAAGAAATATATGGGTAATTTTGACAGAATCCACATTTTCCATAAACTTTTTGAATAACATTTTTCTTTTTTGAAAAAAAAAAAGATTTAACTTTATTTATCATTATTATTTAATTTGCTATAAGGCGCATGTGCTCACCAGAGAGAGAGAGAGAGAGAGAGAGAGAGAGAGGAAGTGAAAAAGCAAGCCACCAGGTCCAAGACTCAAACTGCAGTTGGCCATGTGAGAGTTGAGCGCCTCAACTACCATACCACCTGCTGGTCCCTTGAATGGCTGTTATATTATTATTAATAAAAATCAGGAGGTAAAGGCTATTAAAACATATGGAAAAAATGAAAGGAGGCTGATTTCCTTCTTTTTTAGTAAGAAATCAATTTACATTGTCAAATCAAGAAAGATTTATAAGAATACTAGAGTTACAAAGTTAACCATTAGGAAAACTAAGAACAAACTATAATGCTTTAAAAATACGAGCAATGCTATACACCCTTAAAGAATAAAAGAAGGGAATGAAAGAAAATAAATCTTGTATAGAGAACGTTTGGTAACATGAAATTAGATGACAGAGTTAAGACCAACCGTATTTGTCTTATGGATTCATAAAGGTGGCAAATAGTTGTATAAAAGATAAAGATTTGTGATATGAAAACAAAACCCAGCCATATTTTTATGCAAAAAATACTTCTAAATAATAACCTAAGAGGTGATAGAATGATAATTAAGGCATAATAGGTAGATAAATAAACAAGAGGCATGATATCAATGCCAAACAAGTTAGGCTGGCCCTGCCACATGGTGGTTGGGAGCCAGATTCAACATGGTTAGCTCCGTTTCAAGTCCTGGCCCTGGTGGGCTGTGTGCACATATCCAGGATCCTGACAGGATGAAGAATTGGAAGAAAAGGGATTGGAGCATAGCCAAGCTGCAATGGGGGATATTTGTGCACTCTGTCTCATGCATCATTCTCTTGGGACTTTAGGCACACACACACACACACACACACACACACACAGTGGCATGAGTTTTAAGCCACCGGGTCTGGGACTTGATCTGTAGTTCAGCGATGTAATCATCACTCCATCTGCTGATTCCTATCCATGTGTTTCAAAATTATTTTGTGCCAAAATAAACTCAATACTTCATTTTCATTTTCCATAGATTTTTGAAGTGCCCGCATATAATTTCTATATTTGCAAGGTTCATGACATTTATGCTATGTTCAATAACCATAATTCCCACAACTGCTTAATTTTAGTGCTTCTATTTAAATAAATTCAAAACTCATCACAAGTTTTATCTTAAGGTGATAAGTCTGATTATTGCTTGTTAGAAAGTATATCTTTGCTGCCTTCTTAAAATATATTTATGAGTTATTGGGTTAAACTTTCTTCTCTTAAGAGGTTTTAAAAATGGATCTATTGTCTTCTAGTTTTTGTTGTTCTTTTTTATTGCTAGAGGACAAGTGCATTTGCCAAAAAGGAAAGAGACAGAGAGACAGAGAGAAAACACTCCCCAAAAGATCCCGGTCACAGGGCAGTTCCTTTTGCTTCCATTTCTCCTTCTTATCTAGAGTTCGGGTATGATCACATACATGTCTGTAAGTCTTCTAGTTTTGAATGCAGCTTTTCTAGTTTGAATATAATTTTTTTCTGTCCTCCATATAATGTGATTTTTTTCCCCTGGTTGTCCATCAAATTCTTTCTTTATCTCCAAAATCCAGTAAATTTATCAGAATATGTATGGTTGCTAATTCTGTATCAGCTTTCTGAAAATATTTTTATTTACATTTATTCTAGTGCCTTCTTTCAATATTGGATATATTTTATCTATCATTCAAATCAATGATTTTTCTGTCTTAATTTTAACCTTTTATTTTTTTCCCTTTTTTTCTACTTAGTTAAAAATTTCTTTTATTACTATATTTTCATTTCTTTTTCTGATTTTAACATGGCTTATTTTCCTCTCCCATTTTATGAGCTTTATTAATTTACTTTCAATATTTTTCTATTCCCTATTTTTTTCAAACCTAATATGCATAAAAAGACACTTTTTTATTAGATTCTTTTGTTACTATGGAGAAAAAATAATGATGTGATTCCCCTCCCCCCCACTGGCTCGTTGGTATGATTCTTCTGGCTATATTCTTTGCCTACTTCATGCTTCCTTATTCTTGAATAAATGCCTGAATCCCATGCTCTTGATATGGTAATTATAACTTACCTCCCAGTGAGGGACATCCTTTCCCAGAGGTCTGTAACTGAAGAACAGTGTGTAGAAGATCGGGGACGTGAACTGGGATAGCAGACTAAGTTGTATCTTGAGTATCTTGCTTCAGAACACTTCCTCACCATCTGTGCCATGTTTTCTTTCTTGAGGTCAAGGGGTAGTCTGCCTGGCTTGATATGGCCCTGTATTTTATAATTTTCTGTGTGGTAATTCAGCAACTTTTTCTCTTTAAGCTCTTAACGTTCATACTTACAGAACCAGCACTCCCTACGATGATCTCTCCCTTTATCTGCAAACTGTCTCCTACTGTTCTGCTGACTCTTTGTGAGGTTCAGTGAGACAGGAGCTGTAGGAGCATTCTCAACCTTGCCTTCCAAGAACAGATTTACGGGTTGGAGTTTCAGGGATTTTCTCTTACCTTTGGAGAACCTGGAGCTTTTCTTATGCGTATGTTATCAAGGTCTGTGTTTGTTAGCTTCTTTCCACCGTTGGGTTTGAATTTCACTGTTTGCAAGTTGAACTTCAGAGTTTATAAATTGGGGATGTGACTTTGCAGAAGTTTCATCGAAGATAGAGTTTCATGTTTCAATTTCTTTCTTCTTTTTTTTTTTTGTTATCTGTGGTAGGTTTTAGAAAGTAAAATGCGGTAGATGTGCTTTTATTCTGAACTGGAAGAGATGTTTATCTCAAGAATAGCTACCATACATTGGATGATGACTGGCATACAGCATCACACCAGGTACTGTGTAAATAGCAGCTTATCTAATCCTCGCACCAAAACAGTGAAACAGCACAGAACAATGTTCCGTCAGGCTGGTATTGCAACCCTTATTTTATACCTGAGAAAAACTGATGTTCAAAGGCATCATGTACTTTAATTTCAAGTGCCTTGTAAGCCCAAAGACCGCAGCAAAGAGAAAGTGAGAGCCAGGAGTCGAATTCAGGTCTGTCTGAGCATGATCCTAAGTCAATAAAGAGATCCAACAGTCACAGGATTTGGACAGGAATCTAGACAGTGCAATTCTGAAGTGAGAAGTGGCAACAGCATTTTCTATGGTGAAATGGCTACCTCTCAAGAACAATTATGGAGAGCCAATTCTCATGATAAGAAATGGAAATTCAAGGGTCTGAAGTTTATAAATAAGTACTGAACTATTTACAACACACAAAGATCAAAGCAAAAGATTTTTGCATATTCAAAGCGGAAAGTGAGGAACCGGCCACAGTAATCTCATGATCATTGCCTGAGCCTGGAGTAGGCCTCTGTCTGTCTATTGGAGGAGAGGAACATCTCAGTAGCCCTAGAGAAGAATGGTGTGTTCTGATGAGAAGGATGCTTTGACCATGGCAACTAGGAGAAAAGTGCCATATATTATAGGAGGAGAACTTCAAAAAATTCATGAAAGAAAGAGTTCAAAGTACAAATTTTATCTGATGTTAAATAATTTTGAATTCCATGCACAGTTCTTTTATTATATGTAAAATACACGTTTCCACGAACATTTTGAAGACCCTTTATAGTACAGAGAGAGAACTGGTACAGGTGAAGAGGGGCTCTTGGCAGTGAAAACAAACCTGGAATGATTTATATTTTTTTAAAAAAATGTATGTGCACGTACACTAGAGGGGGGGGGAGAGAAAGAGATTCTCAACAGGGTCTCATCACCTGTGTTCCCAGCCTCTAGCTCTTCAGAATCTTGGGTATATGCATGTGTCCCGTGTGTTTTCAAGCCCATTCTGAAGATCTGAACTCACTGTCAGCCATATGGCCTGCTGTGTCATAAAAATCTTCATTTCTTTAAGTCAGAAAATAAAATCCAAGTGGCTAGAGGCTTTCTCCTTGTCCTTCTGGCTTAGGTAAATGTATGTGGTATTAGTTTTCCATGTCTCTGGGAAGTCCGATGACCCAACAAACTTTTGCATAAACATGAAAGATATATTTATCTTGGGGTTCCTCTTTCTGTGACTCTTGAGGTGACAATTTGAGTGGGGGTGTTTTTACTCGTTTTTAGTTTTTACTATAGGGCACTTGCACTTGGAGGGGAGTGTGTGTGGAGAGAGAGAGAGAGAGAGAGAGAGAGAGAGAGAAATTACCCCTCCCCAAGAGGGTATAGCCCTAGAAGGTATGGCCACACTGCAATTCTTTCTCCTCCATTCTCCTCTCAGGATTTTGGGCATGCATGCACATGTGCCTGGAGTGTTTTTCAAGCTGCCAGGTCCAGGACAAAAACCGTCTAGTTGGCCATGTGGGATCCAGCCACCTTAACCTCTACACCATGGGCTGGCCTCTGTTTTTTACATTTTATCCTAGGTTCAGGCTTAGCTTTAGAGAATTTATTAACTATGACAGGGAGAATATGGGGTGAAACTGATGCCCATTGAAGGCTGATGGAGGATTCATAGAATATACAAGATAGACGAGTCATGGAGATTACAGAAGCACACTTTCCAACTTGACTCAAGAGTAAAGGCAAGGATAGGACTGGCAGTTAGTGTAATGGCTATGTCACTGAACTCCCATGTAGTTGACCGCGGTTCGAGTCCTGGACCCGGCGACTTAAACTCATGCTGGGCATGTGTGCATGTGTGCCCAAGATCTCGAGAGGAGAATGAAGGAGAAGGGATTGTGGTGTGGCCATCCCCCCCCACCCAGGGGGCTGATTTCTTGCTTTCTGTCTCTCTGTCTCTCTCTGTCTTTCTGGCAAGTGCACGCACCCTGTAGCAAAAACCTCTCCAAAAAAATGAAAAAAAAAAAAAAAAAAGAGAGAGAGAGAGAGAGAGAGAGAGAAAAGTGTATGGGCAAGGAGTTACCAAAAGCACATAAAATTCTTAAGGAAAAAAAAAATAGGACCGCAAAGTAATGGTTCCAGGCAGTGGGGGAAGCTGACATGAATCTTGAAGTTTCTAGAAGATGTTTTAGAAGCAGATTTGGAAAATAAAATGTTGGCACATAAAACACAACATTAAAAGAAACCAAGTAAGACGGGTATGGCCGAGGAACTTTTAGATTATGCCTCAGTTTATTTCCCTCCGTGGCGTTACTGCTTCCCCGGTTGCCCAGGTCAAATTCCTGGGAGTCCTCCTGGGCTTCCTCTTTCACCCTCTGTCAGTGATCTGCAGTTAGGGTTTCCTACAAAGCAAGTTCCGCACCCTCCCCCTCCAGCATATCTGTGGTTCTGGCCCTCTTCATCTAACTGTCTAAGGAAAAATCTGAGACAAGTTAAATTTAACAGGGTTTAATTGGGTAAAGAGAAGTTTCATGAATCGGTTAACACTCAAGCCCACACACGGTTTAGAGTACTCCATCCCACATGTGTGCAGAAAATATGTACAGCCAGGGAGAGGAGATGACATACAGAAGCAGCCTGATAGGCTGCAATCCATTTTGTCTTATTTGGGTATGTCTGGGCAGCTTTTAGCCTGTGATTGGCTGAGAGCCAGCTGCAATGACTGGCTGAGGTTCAGCTACTTGTTAGTTTCCTGCTAGGCTGCAGTTTGTTTACAGACTAAGGCTACAGTTTTCTATGTAAAACGGAGGCAGTGTCAACCAGACATAGCTCAGAGTAACATGCCCTCGAGGACAGTAATAGCACTTACCCACCTTCCCTAGTGCCAGCTAGTTTCTCCCACTTTGATGTTATTTTTCACACAGCCACCAGAAGATCAGTAGTGGGCCGGCCAGTAGTGGGTCAGTGGATGGCGTGGTGGTTAAGGCGCTGGATCTTACAGGGCTGACTGTGTGATTTGAGTCTGGAACCAGCAGTTTGAAAAACATGTCCAGAGCCTAGGTGTGTATGCCCAAAATCCCAAGAGGAGAATGGAGAAGCAATTGTGGTGTAGCTATCCCCCTGAGGGGTGCTTTCTCACTTTTTCTCTGTCTCTCTGTGGTGAGGGCACATACCATACAACAAAAATCTAAAATAAATAAATAAATAATACTCAATGGCTCTCTGTAGTTATAAGGTACGCAACTGATTATAGCACCTAAGCCTATTAAGATCTCACCTGGGACCAGCAGTTGATGTAATGGCTATGTCACTGGACGCCCATGTAGTTGAGCATGGTTCGAGTCCCAGACCTGGTGGCTTAAACTCACTCCAGGAGCATGTGTGGGCATGCCCAAGATCCTGAGAAAAGAATGGAGGAGAAGGGATTGTGGCGTGGCCATCCCCCCGAGGGGTGATTTCTCGCTTTCTGTCTCTCTGTCTCTCTCTCTCTGTCTTTCTGGTAAGTGCACACACTCTGTATCAAAAAACCATTCAAGAAACAAATAAAAAATAAATAAATAAAAATAAATAAAAGATCTCACTCTTTCTATTACCTGCAAAGGATATCCCATCAGGCTAACAGCAGACCTCTCATTGGAAACAATGCAAGTGAGGAAAGAATTGGAAAATATATTCAAAGTGTTAAGGAAAAAGCAATTTCAACCAAGAATATTTTAAATGGCAATATTATTCTTCATATGTGAAGAAAAGACAAGAACATTCTCAGATAAACAAAACCTGAAAGAAAAAGAACCAACACCAGACCAGATCTCCAAAAAATTCTCAAGGGAGTGCTATACCAGGAAGATTAAATACAGATGTGCAGAAATAAGAGTTCAAAACTAAGAAAATGGCTGCAGAAATAAAGAGTTCAAAACTAAGAAAATGGCCAACTTAATCGTAGGGTCAAGTCTGGAGTTGACTATTATATCCCAGAATTTAATCGGGAAGATCGAACCACAACAGAAAATAAAGTACATGAGATTGAACTGGTGAAATAGCATTTTATGACTTTTGACTAAAACATTGCTGATTTTCTTCCAGGCTTTGTCTTGTGGTTTTAAGGATTTTTGTTCTATCTTGTGCTGTCGATAGGTTTGTGTACCTACTATTTGAACAGAATCCTAACCTGTTTCCTGGCTTTTAGTTTTAAGCAAAATTCCTTAGCATTTCTTTGATTTTTTAAAAATAAAACTGCTTTTCTTGAAAAAAAAAAAAAAAAAGGAAAGATCTCATCCTTTCTGGACAGACTTGGTGATCCAGGAGAGTATTGTGAGTAATGGACTGAACACATTTTGCTGTTCTGTGCCTCTGTACATTTTCTGATTTAGTCTAAAGCCCTTCTCTTCATTCCCTAGTCTTTCCTTCCGGTGTCTAATTTTCCAGCTCCTTTTCCTTTTCCTTTACTTTCTGTTCACTCCCGCTGTCTCCTCCTTTCTCCTCCTGAAAGCTAACATTTATTAAATGTTTACTATGTTTCACACACTATGCGTAAAAGATTTTACACATTTACCCTTCATAACATGTTTATGAACTCAAGTTTATTATATTCTTCTATTCCCATTTTTTTTGAGAGGTTTTTGCTATAGGGCATGTACACTCGCCAGACAGACAGAGAGAGACAGAGAGACAGAAAGTGAAAAATCACCCCCCAGGGGGGATGGCCACGCCACAATCCCTTCTCCTCCATTCTCCTCTCGGGATCTTGGGCACGCATGCACATATGCCCGGTGTGAGTTTAAGCCACTGGGTCTGGGACTTGAACTGCAGTTGACTACATAGGAGTCCAGTGACATAGCCATTATGCTAACTGCTGGTCCCT